AAATTTACCCCAAAACTATATCTACATGTACGTGACCTTAGCGGCATTACAGTCCCAGGTTTATTCCCAACCAAAGAGGGATGGATTTGGTGGGGGGGAGGAGGGGAGATTGGTCGGACAGCAGGTACTAGGACAGCAGTCCACCCTGAAACACGGGTCTGAGATGCAATGGGCAGACCAAAAGAAAATGTCCTTGGAAAAAGCTACACAAATCGTTGGTTATTCACCTCTGCTTTACAAAGGGAAGAAGTAACGGTACCAACATTCCCGTTAAATTTTACTTCAACCATGGGCCTCAAGAGCCAGAGATATACATTGCAAATATCCCAGGTGTGAGGAACATGATAAGATAAAGTTTAATGAAAATAAACTATCCCGCGGACCACAGGTTGGGAAACACTGGTTTATACGATCTATTTCTGCGTAGCCTGTTTAACAACGCTTTCAGAATCCAAGATATGTAGCATCGGCTGATATGATATGAATTTGAAGGGAAATGTTAATGGACTTGTCGAGGTACTAGCCCAGTATATATGGAGGGACTGAGAAGAGCCATGAAACTCTCAGGATAGTCGGTGTGCAGGCCGATACTCAAAACGAGCGCGTGCCGAATGCAAGTACAGGCCGGTAGCTCCAGACCAGTTTGTTCGGTATATACAGGGCCTATTAAACGCGACACATTATTATTCATATTATTCAACACAATCTGATTTTAAAATAGTTATTATATAGAACCTTCTGTGTTTTCGTCTGCTAGCTATAAACGTACGGATTAGAAATAACAAACTATAATATTGCCTGTGAATATGTGTGGATATGAAACTTTGATATTAAGGGGGGAACATGGACTGAGGGCGTTTGAGAACAGGGTGGTCAGAGGAATATTTGAACTGAAGACTGAAGAAGTTCGAGAAAACTGCATAACGAGGAGCTTCTTCTCCAAGTGTAATTAGAGTGTTCAAGTCAAGGAAGGATAATATTCAAATGGATCTTAGAGAAATAGGATGGGGTAGTACTGACTAGATCAATCTGGCTCAGGATAGGGACCAGTGGATGAGTCCTGTGAACACCATAATAAACCCTTGGGTACCATAAAATGTTAAGAAATCCTTGAGTGACTGAGCAACTAGCGGCTTCTCAAGAAGGGCTCAACTCCATGGAGTTAGTTGGTTAAGTGTTAGATGTACTCCAAATGAAAAATTAATCCCAATTATAAAAGAAGAAAGTGAACATATATTCGCCCTTATAAAACACATCACTTCGATCAGTTCATGAAGCACGAGGAAATGAATATATCATAAAGTAATTGAGCAGCTGCACCTATTGTTGGTTTTACCTCCATCCTTGTCGCACTTCGCCCCAGCAGCCATCTGCCTGTCAACACAGGACTGGGCCCGCAACGGCCAACTACTGCGCATTGTGAGGCAAAGAGATAGGAAGTGTACTCACCGTCTGTTACAGCCTGCGGATTGGCGGCAACAGTATAGAGCTGAGATTATGAACTGCAATTAGTCGGACTGAGAAAAATTATAAATCGAATGTCTTAAAGAAAGTCCATAGGAACTCTTATCTTGACATGAAATTTATAAAATTAAATTGTGTCTGCTAGTTATTTCAAATCAGTTTGCAACACCCACGTAGGACTAACATGACGAATTTCTCTTGATTACTAATAGAAATTGATAGTATGCCTCCAATTTTTATGTTTATAATCTGTTTCAGTTAACCTTACGCACAAAGCTTAGGCTTATATATAACAATGCAACCGCTTTACCCCTTCACTTTCCTGTTTCCTACTACGAACCAAAAGACCTTATGCAGTTTACCCCATACTCTTGCTATTACGTACGGTAACCAGAGCTGTTAGAGCGATGCGAAAATATTGTGGCAGAGCTCTGGATCCTAATTCATAATATTTATTTTAAATTAAACGAACAAACTTCAACTGATTACTCTGAGTTCCATTTATTCTTTAAAATCTTAGCTACCACATTCCTATACGGTAATATTTTACGGGAATGTTTATTGTCGGGTGTAAACTGGGCCGTCACCTACGCATTATGAGCCCTTTGGAGAGCACCATGTTCACGAGGCATCCTCCTGCCATATGTAACTTCAATGCCCCAAATTTTCCAGATACAGAATCGACGTTTTCGGTGTAGAGGTTTTTTTTTTAATTCTCTTAGTGGGGGGTGGAGTCGAACTGGGTCCACTCGGCACGGCGACCACTGATTGGCCTATTGTAGCCTGCCCCTGGTGATTATGATGATGGAGAACTTGGAGGAATGAAGATTGGAAGGGGAACCGAAGTACTCGAAGAAAACCCGCCCCAGCGCCACTTTGTCCACCATAAATTCCACCAGACCCGACCCGGGATCGAACCCGGGCCGCCGCGGTGGGAAGCCAGCGACTAACCGCTTGAGCTATGGCGCGGCCTCGGTGTTGAGTTGGTATAGCCGATAGGGTTCCGAGTGCTTGTGGCGACTGAAATGGTTATTCGTCCAAAACAACACCAATGTTATTATATTGACAAAGGCACGGACTATTGTGGGTAGCGGCTGAAGTCCCCGCGCAACCAACGTGCCCTCGATAAAACGCTAGAGCAAAACCAACATAGGGAGCGCCTTCCTCATTCGGCAACTTCTCTGACTTGTCTATTGAGCGTGTAGTCCAACTCATGACAGTAAGGGGTTAGTCACATTAAAACGCTTATTCCGTCCGTAGGAGGAAATTGGCTCCAAATTTCAATTGCTAGGGGCTCAGCTCCGTGTAATCGCAATCCAATAATAACAGCCAACACTGAAAAAACACAAAATACAGAAGCTCGTCGTTTGGTCTGGTAGAAGCTTACTAACGTTACAGAGGAATTTGCTGTCTTCTTCTTCAGGATAGAAGAGTTGTGACGCCGTATAGACCGGTAGAGGTTTATGAATATTCCGAAGGAACGTGCTGCTTCCATCTTGAAGGTAAGTACAGGAGTCGTGACGCCATATATTCTGGTATATATTTACCAACGTTTCGGAGAAGGTTTTTGACCTCATCCTCTGGTCACAAGAGTCGCGATGCCGTGAAGTCTGGTAGAAATTTATCAATTATTCGAAGAAATATCTGACACCAGCTTTTGAAGGGCAAAAAGTTGTGACGCGTTTTCCGTCCTCCTCTCTCTCGCACTTTGGAGCGCAGGGCTGATTCCTCAGTTTGACCATTTGCAGACTGCAGGACTCCTTGGACGGGTGATCAGCTCGTCGCAGTGTCTCTACTTATACACAGGACAACACAAAGACAGAGAAACGCACACATACACAAAACGTCCATGCCCTGGGTGGGTTTCCAAGCTAGCGAAGACAGTTCATGCCTTAGACCGCTCTGCTAACCTGACCGGCAACGCGGTTGAGTCTGATATTTATCAATATTTCGGAGGAACATCTTACATCTATCTTCTGCCCTGAGGATTGTGGCAGCAATGCCCTCCGAAATGTTGGTATAGCATACCAGACTATATTCATCACGTGGAAACCTTAAGTCTGACTTGAATTACAGGGTTTGTAACAGAAATCATATTGAACAAATTTCGAAATGCGAAAGGCTGTGTCAATCAACATGTCCAGAAATGCAAAGAAACAGAATTCCGAAACTGCTAAACGGTTACGAACCGCGTGGATTAAGGAATCTGAGAAGACCTTTGAAGAGGTAACCGTACAGACAGAGCATGAACGGGTCAACAAATGGTCTGAGCCATCCAATGATGGATGATGAGGATTATGAGCGTGTGCACTGCGATGGTGCTGTTTTTTGATTGCTGTTTACAAGAGATTTGTTTTTTAATATAATAACAGCGACCATCAGCTTTTAAAGAAAAAATATTTTTTTTATTGCTAGAGGGGTGTTACTAAGTCCCTTGTACTGCGGCCACTTCTGGCCTACTGTACCAGCCCCAGATGATAGGTGAGGATGATTGTGGGGCAATTGGTGGAATGAAGATTGGCAGGGGAAACCGAAGTGCTCGGAGAAAACCTGCCCCAGCGCCACTTTGTCCACCACAAATCCCACTTGACCAGACCCGGCATTGAACCTGGGCCGCCGCGGTGGGAAGCCAGCGACTAACTGCTTGAGCTATGGCGCGGTCGTGAAGGACTACGTTGTAAGTAATTTATTATAAGCTAACAGGAAAGAAACAAGGGATTCAAAATTTCATAGGAGAGAATATTTGAAACTCTGTCACAACCTGAACTGGAGACAGAATTTCGAATTTCGACTACAATAAAGAGGACACGATGAAAGAATAGGATTGTGGTCTTCCAACATGTGGCCCCGTGTAGTTTCCTCTTGTGATTTCTTTTACGACATGTCTGTATCTAGACGATATAGCGTCGAATGCTAGGATGACTGATGAATAATGAATTGGAAAGGATTCGGAAGGAAGATGTTGCTTAAACGAGATGCTGTCTCGGAATTTGTCTGACTGAGAGGCATGCTACGAAAGATCTGTCAGAAGAGTTGGTGGTGTCTCGACCGGTGTCCGAACCGAGCACTTACAGAATACAAGTCTACAGTGTTACAGTTACACCAGCCTGCTCGGTGAAGCCGTATATTCTGATAGATATGCACCGACCTTTCGGAGGAATAGGGTATTTACACCTTCAGGACAGGATGAATGATTTTTGGGAAGTATAAACGTCAGTAATAATTTTAAGGGATATTATTTATAATCCACCATTTAACAATATGTCTAATTTGTTTTTCACAATAGGGAATAACAAAGATAAGGTGTCCATATGCACATGACTATCATTTTAAAAGATATAGCTGTTTTTTTTCACTTTAATTGTTTCTTGCATCCTGTTGTGTATTTAATCAATATTAGAGTCAATTTCGCCGACTACACAACACGTTTTTATTATTATCACACTACATGTTTCAGTGTACAGTTGTTCGTACACCTGAGGATGACCTCTTGAGGTCGAAACATGTAGTGTGATAATAAAATAAATCGTGTTTTGTAGTCGGTGAAATTGACTCTAATATTATTTTTTTTTTCATTTTACATTCTAACTATAGTACATAACAAGATATTCAGAAGACACGTGCCGATATTTCAAAGTGATGCCAACTAGTAACCAAAATATGACACAAAAACTGAACGTACGATACAGGCTTCCACTTAGCATCAGTTAAGTTTCACTTGTGTCCTACTTGCGCTGGGGCAAATTTCAGGACGACATCCTCTCAGCCAAATCACAGAGTATTTCTCGCGGCACATGTACAGCAGCTGTCGCAATCATGTGCCTAAACACTTCACAGCTCTCTACATGTCCAACGGCTCCAAAACTGCCCCAGGGAAGTCAATTCGGGAGCACTACATGTGGGGACCTTGGAGGTTACAAAATCCAGCAACTTGGAACGTTTAAAGGCACCATCTTCTGGCATACGAATGCTGTGTTTCTTGCAGAAGTTTGCAGACGTTTCAAAGGAAATTACTGTATCCATTTTCAGGGTCGAAAATAAGCCGAACAAGCAGCAACCAGCAAGCAGCAAGCAGCAAGCAACAAGCAACTTTTTGTTTGGATTATTTTTCGACATTGCAAATGGGGGAAATATGTTCTTCTGATACGTCGGTAAACTGCTGCCATAGTACATAAGCTTCGCACACCAATGTGCAGCAATCTTTATAGTTACCGGTGTGAAACCTGAAGGAAAATTGCCAAAGGCGACGATGCAGTATCCTGTTAGAAAAGATCAATTTTCTTTTTTTCCGATTGTGGTAAAGCGAACATTTCCAACATATCCAGTTAAGTCGACACCGTAACGGTAGCATCTGAAGAAGACAAAGATATAGTTGAGACGAAATATCGTCTAGATATCTGCCACAGTACACACTGGAAATATGTGTAACATTACAGGGCAAGTCCTAAGTGGGTGTCGTAATTTCTTGTTTTGTTCCATTCTTTTTGTGACATAGCTATTAAAATATAACACTTTGAATCACTGACTATATTTTCCAGATAACCTATACTCTTTTAAAAGTTCCAAATTTATTAACATAAAATTGACAATCATTATATAATAACTGAACAAAAGTTCTATGTTCTTATTTCAATTTAATGTCTTACAACTTCTCTTAAAGTATTGCAAATCTATGATAAGCACATTTTTACATTTCGCAACTGATATACTTCTGGTGTCGTTATTATAGGGAAATTAGTTTCTCTTTCTGGTCACATGACAAATTAAGGCTGCTGGTGATATTAAAAAATTCCTAAAATGTATATTGATTACAAACTTACGTATTTATCACTTCGAAATACTATCGCAGTTTCACAATTACTTTCAGATATATTTCTGAACAACATACCGTTGAAAAAAATGTTAAAATATACTCACTTATATCAGTTGTAATTTTAAATACATGTTTTCGAAGACATGCGTTATATTCACAATTTTGAGCTAAACATGGTAGTTTTAACATAATAAATCTACAATTTATTTAAAAAAAACACTGATGCCAGCTTACCCTGACTATTACCGAGGGTGTGTGTCAAGTCTGTGTTGCTACGAACATCCACTTAAACTCTATCTAACAATTTACACAGTTATGGAAGGCTTACTGCATGTACTATGATCAATTTTTTCTCTATAAATAGAAGAAACACCCTCTCCAAGTCAGCTGCAACGAGTTCACGGGAACGCCGATGGAAGCGCCACTTGACGATTGGCCTGTGTTGACGGTCAACGCGCATTCACACCGCACTTTGCAATTAAGTCATATAAGCAACTCTAGTTTAGGCCAAAGATTACTTTAGTAAAACAACTGGGAGGTGTGCGGTGATTTGTGGGGCTTCAGCTTTGCACACGAGTTCGGCTATGTATTAGAACAAGGATAATTTCGCAGTCAGTTACCTTACGACATAGAAAGAAAGAACGCAAAAATATATGTCCTGTAATAGCTTTCCTTTCGTATCCAGACAGGCTTAGATTGGTATCCAACTGTGAATAAAAGGCAAAAATTCTCTTATAAGAATAGAAAATTAAAATTGAAAGAGGAAATAAGGGGCATATTTCAGCCCCATTTTCATGTGAAATAAGATATATACATAATGAGATTCGAGAGAAGAGAAATTCTATATCATCAAAATTGGAACATTTCAGACCATACTATATCATTTTTATACAGCAGCGGAAGTAGGCAACATTAAAGAGAATATTTTATAAATATTTAAATAAATATGAAAACGATAAAACAAAGAATATAAATTCAGCATACTTATATTGATAATCAACAAATACAATCCCCCCAAAAATGAATGCCCAAATGTTGAGAAACATAAAATTCAATGAAACTGAAACAATTCAGATCCCTCACTTCCACTTCTATTGTTTAAATAAGTGACATGTTTCACATCAGTCCCTTCCGCTACAGCAACAGAAACATACATACTTATTGAAGGAACGTCTGAAGTCTCTATTAGCAACATAGAGTGCTATCGGGTTGACAAATGAGTTAAACCAGACAAAAAGCCAGGAAATCAAAAACGGGTGATCTTCAGGCTGCTCCCCTATGTAGGGGGGTATGAAGGGAAGACAACAATATGGAACGTAGCTGACAGCTGAGACCACTATCAGGGCCACTAACGTGTTAGCATTCCTCGAACGGAAACTTCTCTCTGTCTCGTGACCACTGGATCCACAATGAACATTCTGCACACATGATCCCAGTTGTAAAGACGTCCCCACAGAAAACAGCGTGGAAAAGCAAAGTGGGAACGCGCAGTAAGTAACCAGAACATATAGTGACACTGTGTAATACTCGTCCATCACGGAGATTAATGGTATTGCAGCTACAGACGCAAGCAAAAGGGCTGTAATTGCATGGGCGTGGGGGCTGTATCGTCTCAATATTTTCCAACCGGAATTACGACGATTGTTGACCGGAAGTACTGTCAGGTATACATGGCAGCTGAACATCATCACAGAATATATATTGAGACCTACTATCACATAGAAAACGTAAGTAACTGACAGAGGAGAGTGTATAGAATGTACTAGGAAAATGTCAATTGGAGGGTTATGGAGAATGAGATTCAGAATATCAGCAACTGCAATGTTTATAATGATTAATGTACTGCCTTTACGCATTTCTTCACGTCTTATGAATATTCTGATGAGGATGCAATTTAAAATAAATCCTGTGATATAAATCGAAGAAAGTATTACAACACCGGGAGCTCCACCAACTTGTTTAATTGGAATTCCAAAATATGTATCAACCTGCTTTGACGTCAAGGCAGTGGGCAAATACTCAAATTCAGTCCGTTTGTCAAGGTGAAAGTCACAGTTATTAATATCTACAAATGTTTGAACCCAGTGATGTATCGAACGATCTGTCACATTTACGCACATGAAAATATCACTAATATGCTTCAAATCAGTGATGAATTGTTCACCAGTTTTCTGAGCTTCGGCTTCAGTGAGTCCACACGTGTCATTGCAGCCGGGATTACTATATCTGAATATCAAAACATCGCGATATCTGGCAACCGAACATACGAAACAGTCACACTCGTTGAGGTCTTCATGTGTCCGAACTGAGATCGAATCTAATTCTGATCTGTCTGTAAGATTGTTACTTTCAGTTTTGTCCACATCCTGGTGACCCATTTCTATAACACTCACTATACACTTGGCGATTTCTAAGCTGTCCGTTCTTCTATCCTCTGTCCCATTGGTGGAAGATCCGTTATCGTACTTCTGAGCGTTATTGACTAAACACTGAGCGATCCTCATGGCTTCCTCGTACAAGGCGTGTCTGTTTTGCTTCTGTACATCGTGCCAACATGTGTCGGGTATATTTATGATGTTACAGGTTATGTTTGAGCGTACGTGTGGCAGGACAATCAGCAGAAACCAGAGGAAGTTGTTCAACATCTGTAAGGATACCAATGAAGGAAGGTAGACATACTCGTATATATAAATGTTCATTTACTTGATTATTTATTTTTGTTTTATCACTTTGTATGCAATAGTGACTCTGATTTTGACAGAGTAGGTGGATAAACTTAAAGAGTTTATCCAAAATGATAAAATATTATTAGCTTTTTGAAGCCTGAAATTCATCTTAATAATATTTCCGAAAATAATTTCATACCTCACAGAAAACAGAACGTGTTTTCCTTACAGCGACTATTATGTTAATGATGTTTAGAGAAATAATTGCTGTTTGTTCGAAAAATCATATTAAACACATAAATGACATAAATGGTGCATATAGTTACTATAGGATTCTGACGATGGTGTAGAACACACAGAGATATTGGGTTTTCAGACTTTATCCATCGTCCTGGTTTTAAGATAACTAAAAAAAACACGACGTTTCGGAAACAGATCCTGTTTCCGAAACGTCGTGTTTTTCTTAGTTATCTTAAAACCAGGACGATGGATAAAGTCCGAAAACCCAATATCTCTGTGTGGTGCATATAGTTTTCACTATTATTTAAAGGGATTGAAATCATCATTTCACTTTGTCTTAAACTTTCTTTCCTTTAGTCATCTGTCAGTGCAAGTGCGATAGACAGAAACAAGTCACGTTTATTCTTGTTTCCTCTCCACTGTGTTACGGCCAGAATGTGGATCTTCATCCACTAGTAAATATAAAATTTGATATATTCTGCTGCTGGCGAAAATTGAGGTTATTAAAATAGCCCGAATTCACTTAACTTTAAAGACCAAATTCGGCGACTTATCCTTACACTGTTTAGATATGATCTTATAACTGCGTAAGTTATATGTATGTATGTAATATATATTTTATCTATCTATCTATCTATCTATCTATCTGTTTATGTATATATACCTGTCTGTTTATGTATATATACCTATCTATCTATATATATACCTATCCAGCCACAGCAACTCATCGGCCCAAGCAACTACATCATTAATATTCACAAAATTACAACCATGCCTCTTGTCTGTGACATTGCCTGGGATGGTGTCCGTGAAGACAGCCACACCCAGTCGAATAAAATCAAGTGATATCACTTACTGAAACTCACCCAGATCCGTTTGGATAACATCACAGCATCTTTAATGCGGTCCATCTCGTGACACACTTCCTCGCAGAACATTGCGCACTGTCACCCCCCCTTCCACCCGTCCTCTTTCACTACGTCGGCGTCGGGGTCCATCGATCTACAAGCCTTCGCCCCTCCCCCCGGGGTTGGTCTTTCAGCACCGCATAAACTGATGCTCTAAGCGAGAAAAGTGCAGAGAAATAAATACGGGGCCCGTAACTTTGTGTATTCAAGTATTTTATTAATTTACGTGTATTTGTGAGATTTTAAGTTCTGACGGCGGTGCCTGTGAAGACTGATCTTTTCTGCAATATGTTACCATGTAGTCTGGCCTACATGTACCACCGTTTCGGAGGAATGTACTGCATCCATCTTCAGTGTTTCCCGGATATTCTGTCGCGAACGTTCCTCCGAAATGCTATTAAACATCTATCGCTTTGGATATTGTCGCATATCTTCCAACATATTTCTCTCATCTCAACAGCTTCAATATCGGCTCTAGAGTCCGCCCAGCCTCCCATCTGGGAGATAATGAGGGCTTTCTCTCAGGGGATAAAGCTCAGCATTCACCCCCATCAGGCGTACTTAACGGCACCATCAGGATCTCTACTCTATAGTATCGAATGGTAGAATGACTGACGAATTGGGAAAGCTGTGGGAAGAAGTGATCATGGCCTAATTTGAGGCACCATCCTGGCGTACGTCTGGAGGAACTGAATTAAACCATAAAAATCTCAGTCGGTACAACCGGTTTCCAGCTGAGATTCGAACCAAGCACCTACTGCTTCTTGGTGAAGGTGAAGAGTGTATAGAGCTGTATCTCATGTTACCATGCGTCTTCATTTCGTTGAATTTAATTAAGAGCATGTGCAACTTTACCTTTGCCGTTAATAAAAGTAAATAATTATGGAATGGGAAATGAATCGTTCCTTCAAACAGCTGGGAATAGCAACTTGCCCCTGATGTTCCATTTCCTGCCGCACGCTGTTACACTCAAACGAGAGTCACGTGCTACATCGATTATGCAGTGACGTCACACAGCTTTAAGCGCCGTGTTCCTGCAATGTTGGTAATTTCAGGTCGTGTTCTTAAGCTTCGCCTCCAGGTTGTAAATGAGAAGTACGGCGAGAAATAGGAGGGCAGTGGTTGCAACTGCACTAAGAGAGGAATACAGACAAAACGTGACGAATGACGTAACTAATATAAATAGTATGTAGGATATTTTTATCGCCTTACTACGTGATACGCAGCGGCGCTTTCAGACGTAGTGGCGGCCATGTCGGTGGGTGGGTAGGAGCATGCAAACACCTCGCGTACGGCGAAATGTTAGTACTCGTGTGACAAGCGCCGTCTGTTAATGCATAAGTCGGATCCACCCTAACTTTTTGCCTTTCTACATTTTCATGGTCGGATTTCGAATCTCGGTAGGGTCAATAATTTTCTCTTCTCCACGTCGTCCAGACCGGCTCTGGGGCCCACTCAGCCTGCATTCCAATTAGTACCGGGGGCTCTTTCCCCGGAGGAAAGCGACCGGGTCGTGAAGCTGACAACTCACCTCCAACTAGTACCGAGGTCAAGAAAACATGGATCTATACATCCACTCCCCCATACGCCTTCGTGGCGTAGTACTTAATTAGTTAAGCACAGGGACAGCTTTACATTACCTCTGTATTTTTAGTCTTGTCCTTACAGCACGGAACCGCAAAAGCTCAGTCATTATAGTGACGGGCTACGGGCTGAAAGGCTGAGGTTCAATTCCAGACAGGTGCAAGAAATTTTTCTCTACTCCACAGCAACGAGATGGGTTCCGGGACCCAACTAACCTCCTATCCAATTGGCGCAAAGCGGTCGGGGCGTGAAGTTGGCCATTCAGCTCCATCTTATTGAAGGGTTCAAGAATTGTGGAGTATACCTCCACTCACCCCTACGTATTATTATCATGGTGCTTAATTAATCAGGCACAAGGACAACTTTACTTTTACTTGTGTCTTCGTTGCAGTGAAGTGTAGCTGATTGCTGATACCAGTGACACAGGAAAGTCTGTTCGCGTCTCGGAACAAAGGCAACTGCGCCTAACTGGACGGTAAGCTATGAAGTTGTGTGGGGTGGGGGGAGTGAAGCTCCTCGTATTCTTAAACTCGACTATGAATCGAGAAGAGTGGTCAGCTTCACGGGCCGGCCGTTTTGTCCCTGGGCAAAGAACGACAGCAACCCAGTTACTTCTGCTTCCAGGCGTAGAACTGTGGCCTGCTGCGTCGAATGACAAGGCCGTGAACTTGAAAGAAAGTGAAAGGAAGCGGTCGTAGCCTACCTTACTACCTCGGCATTCATCGAGGTACTGCTCCTCTACCGCGTAACATCTGTTCACAATCACAAGCTAAGGCTGAGTTGTATCGGGGATTTCGTGGGGAATTCTCTCTGTAACTGCTAATCAGACCAGAACTCGCATAGAACTGGAGCGTTACCGCTAAGCGGCGCTGACTCCGCAACAAACACTCACGTGGTACTTCCAGGAAACGCTCGTAAACAGCTCTTATCAAGTAACCTTGATATCGCAACTGTGACGGGCACATCCGCTTCAGCCAGGCTGTTCCACCTTTCGAGGCCCATGTCATCGGACCCATAGGAGATACTGATACTGTTTTCCTGTCTCATGCTTCTTTTCATTTTCTGCTTCCTTCTTCAAATTTTTTCTTTTCCCGTTTCCTTCCTACGTCTTCTACATTTTCCGTTACCCTCTTTTTTCTTCGCTTCTTACGCTTTGTCTTTCTGCTCCCACACTTCCCTTTTCTCCTTCACTTTAATCCTCCTCTTCCTCCTCTTTTCAATTCTCATCTCTTTTCTTCTCGTGTTCCTTCATCTTCTCTGTCTCCCCTCTTTCGTTGTTCCTTTACTTCCATTTATTGTCTACTTCCTTCACATCCCCTTATTTCTCCTTCTTCCTGTTTTGAAATGCAGATTGTTGATCAAAGGTCTAAGGGGGCCCATACACGTACGAGTCTGGCTCGGCTCGGGTTCCAATGACCCAAACTCGTCCGTGTGTGTGTGTCGCCACGCTCATACGTGTGTGGTGAAATTAATCCGAGCCCGGCTCCTCGCCGAGCCGGACTCGTACGTATATGGGCCGCCTAAAATCCTTATGGTTTGTTTTGCTGGTCGCGGGTTTGAACCCTGTCTGGGTCATAACGCTGCCAATTATTATTTTTTTTTTTTTTCCAATACTCGGTATAGATTTTTGTAATGGACTGTAGGGCTCAGACATGTCAGACGTGAGGAATTGCCCGCAATATTTTTGGGACGTGATTCATGAGGGGAAAACCAGGACTCGCTCCGGCAGCAAAAGGTGACATAAAACAATTATAAGAATGACAAGTACTTGCGGGGGGTAAGTAATTTTCTGGAAGTCGAGGGAAGCCTGTGTCGTGGAACGCGTAATCTAGAAGCCAGGAACAGCGCGTTTCGAAGTGGAAGATTAGAAAATAAAAGCGAACCGACACGACAAAGCGTTTTCCTACTCACAGCAGATTCTGATCAGGCTGATGTTGCTTTACAGTTTCGAGAACTTAAAACAAGAATTTATTCTCGAGTCCTACAAATCTCGGCAATATGCAGTTTCGGTGAGTGTGAAGTCATGTGATTCTCAACAATGCTGTTAGCGTGACAGGGTACTGCAATCGAAATTCGTGAATTTGTGTCACATCTGTGGAGTGGAAGGTATTTGAGATGTTTAAATTTTTTAAGCCTTTAATCCACGCAACGCTAAAATCGCGATTATACCATTCAGAGTACTTGTATGTATTCATTTCTGTTCTGAAGCTGTAAAGGTGAGGTAAAGTTGGCACTGTGCTTAACTAATAAAACAGGAGGCCACGAAGGCGTATGGTGGAGTGGATGAATTGATCCACATTTTCTTGATCTCGGCACTAGTTGTAGGTGAATTGTCATACACCAGGGGAATGAGCCACCGGTACCCATTGGATAGGACGTTGTGTGCACCCCAGAGCCCCAGACGATGTGGAGAAGAGAAAATTTTTGACCCAACCGGTACCGAACTCCGACCCCTCGGTCGTCCAGCCCGTAGCTAGTCTCTATACCGACAACGCTCATGTTCGTTATTTAAAGTTCTATTATAAGATGAAACTGACTGTGCGTTACTATGGCAACACACAAAGCGAAGAAGCAGTGTTTAAAATCCCGATGTAGAAAAAGTTAATCGGCTGCTTAAAATTATACCCATGCTGGAAACATTGGAAACAGTACCATTTGATATGCTAATGATCAAAGCATTGTGAAGAAGCCAGGCCTTTCGGAAGAAACGAAGAAAACGTTTTAATAAAGAGAATATCTGTGACTTGTACTGTAATGTAATGTAGATACACGTGTATCTTTTTGCATAACTATTCGTGTAGGAGCCATAGGAGCAAGAGGTATAACCATGAGCTGTACAAACTATTTAATGAACCAGACATTATTGGATTTATAAAGGTGAAAAGGTTTGAATGGGCTGGACAGATAATACGTGCCGGCGAGAATAGAACCATCAAGAAAATGCTTAATACTAAACCAGAAGGAAATAGGAGAGTGGGAAGACCAAGGTTAAGATGGGAAGAATGTGTGTGGCAGGACATAAGAATTTTGGGCATAAAGAACTGGAGGAATGTAGCATCGAATAGAGAAGAATGGCGAGCAATCCTGAGGAAGGCCAGGGCTCACAAAGGGCTGTCGTGCCAATGGTGATGATGATGATGATGATAGGAGCCATAGGAGCCATAGATTTCGGACATTGAATAATGCTGGAACTACAAAACTGTAAGGAAGAAACGCGAACAATTTTTTTCTCCAGGTAGAAACAATGCAAATATATCCCCTACGGAGATGGAGGGCAATCCCTTTCGAAGTGGACCTAGGGTTTGACGCCATAATGAACAGCGTCTGTTGGTGAGTGCTGGCGTCGGTTGAATTACTGTTCTTACGGGTGCAACGTCGAATGATCTCAAGTACTCATGCTGTAATCGAGAAAACATCTGGACACCACCGTGGAGGAAAACCATGAAGGCAATGTCCCGGCCGAGATTCGAACCGAACACCTCCATATTTAACGTTAGGCTTTGTTTCTGAATTACATCTCGAGATTCATAAAACGTTACAAGAAAACTGTAAAAGGTAAGGTTGTCCACGCATTTAAACTGTCACTTCATGAAGACGTGAGGAAGGGGCGTGAACATAAAGCTGCATTCTCTCTTATTTGTTGACATTATAGGTGAGTGGTTAGGTTCACGCCCCAGCCACTTTACCTCCAGGGAACTGTCTCCCAGTTCCCGTTGGATAGGAGGTCGTGTGGGCCCCAGAGCCAGTCTGGACTCTGCGGAGAATGAAAAATTTTTTGCTCACGCAGGGAATCGAACCAAAATTCCTCAGAAGTTCAACGCCGTATTCCGGCATTACACCGACTAAGATATCTGTGTGTCTGACACAGTCGCTAAAATATTTAGTAGGGGTAGAGGGTAGATGTCCCGCACAGTTTACTCCTCTTTTCATATTCTTATAGTCGGGATTGCATTTTGGTCACTATAAAGCCGTGAGTTTGAATTGCTGAGGAATGAGGCTGTTGCTATGGAAACAGCGCATTTAAGTCACTGTTGCTCGGACAGTAAAAGTGCGTCTCCTTTCCGCATCAGCTGATTGGCAACCAGCAGGAGTTCGCGTTACCTTGAAGCACGTCCTGAACTTAACGCGATAGCTTCTAGCTGCTCGCACTCTCAGAATCGGACGGGTAAGCAGTGGCAGGACGTGAAACGTAAAGTAAGTGCACCCTTGTCCAACGCGGGAGATAATCCCTCGATAGCTGCGCGTTCGGTGAATCCACATTGTTAATGGGGACAACAGGCGAGAGGAATATTTACATTGTTACATATGCAGAGGGTAAGAAGCCAGGTTGCTTATACAAACACAGAGACAAAAGCTGACCCGTCTTTAGCTCTGTAGACAGCATCAGTATCTTCCATATGCTACTACAGTGTCTGCCAGACCGCGCATAATCGAATCTTACGTTTTCGGCAAATAATTGTTCCCGTTTATACGTGTACGATAGAATACCCGTTAGATGAGGGTTTGATATGTATATAGGGGCACTATGTTACAAGCCGTAAGGTCGCAGGTTGGAGTCCCGATGAGGTGGATTTTTTTTTTCTATTTACCTAATCCTTTCAGCCTCACTATGGCCCTGGGGTTGACTCAGCCTTTTAACGGAAATGAGTACCAGGAATCTTCCTGGTGGTGATAAAGGATGGCAGGGTTGTAAGGCTGACAACCTTGCCGCCATCTGTGAGCCAATTGTCTAGTTAATGTGGGACCCTCAACGTCTCACAACCCTATGGGCCGTCACGGCCTGGTACAGGGATAACATTACCTTTTTTATATGTATCCTCTATATCCTTTGACCAAGTGGGCTGGCATAATGGTCTGGACTTGTGTTCGGGAGGCAATCGGTTCGAACCTTGGCCGGGACACACACAATTCTGTCTGAAGTGCTTCTTGGTTTTCCTGAGTTCCTCCATGAAAATGCCGGCATAGTGCCGCGATTAGGCCTTCTAAATCCATGCCAATTCCTCATTTGCCAGTCGCCTAACCATTCGAATCTATGCTAATATAACGACAACATTCTACAACACTCCCCCCTCCAACACACAAGCGCTCCTTCGAGAGGGGATTCCCACAGCGTCAGTGCAGCTTCTCGCGACGTGAATGCTGCACGTTGTATGGAAAGCAACGGCAGGGAAGCGACGAAACAAATGTTTGCTCTAGCCTCACACGCAGAAAACTCCTCGTGCGTTCAAGGAAAGATTTTTTCAGTGACGCATGTTGAATGTGTGCGTACTGCAAGCCTCGTGTGTCGCGTTGTGTCGTGCTGAAGTAACGTCTGCTCTCCTAGAAATACTGCAACAATATAAATGTGAAATGAATTCAGTGATTCTCAGCAAGAACAAGGCAAAGCAATCAATAACTGAGTGTCAGTATTGTTGGATTCAACAGTAAGTAGATATGTGACAAAGGTACTGAACACACAGGAAACTAAATAGATATTAATTCGTATTTCAAGTCATGACGGTGGTGACTATGAAAAATACTCATCTTATTGGATGTGACGCCGTGTAGTCTGGTTACGTTTCGAAGGAACTTGCTGCCAAGCAACTTTGCTTCTTGGTTGCTTGGCTCACTCACTGACGAGTCCTCTGTGATATGACACCGTTTAATCTGGTAAAATTTTATAGACGTTTACCCTAGTCTTCAGGGTCGAAAAGTAAGCAAAGGAAACAACTCTTCTGGTAAGTCGCGCCTGTCAACTCTTATGGTGAGTCGCGCCGGTTTTCTCACGACTTCTCCAAGTTTTGCAAATCTGGCCTTGAAATTTTCCACACGCGGACCACTCTGCTTGCTCTTTTCTGCATGTATACTTGACTTATACTTTTACCTTGAAGATTATGACAGTACGTTAGCCCGAAATGTTTGTTCACTTCTACTGGATTATACGGCGTCACGGCCGCGCCATAGCTCAAGCGGTTAGTCTCTGGCTTCCCACCGCGGAGGCCCGGGTTCCATCCGGGTCTGGTCAAGTGGGATTTGTGGTGGACAAAGTGGCGCTGGGGCAGGTTTTCTCCGAGTACTTAGGTTTCTCCTGCCAATCTTCATTCCACCAATTGCTCCACAATCACCCTCACCTATCATCTGGGGTTGGTACAATAGGCCAGAAGTGGCCGCAGTACAAGGGGCTTAGTCCCACCCCACTAGCAATACAAAAAATATACGGCGTCACATCCCAGAATATGACTCTCTAAATAAGGATTAATTCCGAACACGTGTGCAGTAACATTTTCAGTTCACCGAAAATGTTCTGGGATCTTATACATAAATATGTTCTGTTACACGCGTTTTATGAGAATTAAAAAAAAATGCTTGTAATGGTTTACAATACCGAAGCAAACTGCAACAAATTCTGTCTCTGTAGGCCTCGAGATGAATGTACTGAAGAAGAAGAGAGGAAATGTGAACCAGAAGGCAAGGATTAAGTGCTGCTCTCTGGTGAGAAGTCTTTTCGTTGTTGAGAGAAATCCCATGGTACCTCCCTGATGAAAGCACTGGAAACTGGAGAAAATGATTTTGTGTAACACATCATTTTATTTTCTGGTTAGTATAGACATTTTATACAAATCTTCAGCCTTGAATAAAAACGTATTTGTCTTCACTTCTTTCGGGAAGTTCACGGGCGCATTTCTGTGAGACAAAAGCGTAGCACAAAAACATATTCTTTTTAACTATTCAAAACATTCGAACATTTTCGTAACAAGCTTATTTTTACGGTGAGTTGTAAGCCCCACGCCCAACCCCCAAATTGGAGGACCACCGCTTGTCGCCTGTCCGCAACTGCTTATTCAATATATTCGCAGGTACCCTTCGTACGTGGAAGGCGTCTCCTCCCGAGGACGCGCCGTGCTGTGGTGACAAGGGACCCACCTAACATGGAATATTCAGAACCCTTTGAAATATATTTCGTTTTGGCTCACGCCCTGTCCATTCCGCTCCAAATTGTTATAATATCAGAGGCACCCCAGTGCCGAGCTTCGGTTGAGGAATTTGCTGCACGTGTCAATGTATGATACACGATATTCCCGGCTCCTCTCATACTTAATAAAGGACATGTAGTGAGGGTGGCAGAATAATTAGACCGAAGAGGGATGGAGTGACAGGAGACTGGAGAAAACTGCATACCAAGGGGCTTCATAGCTTGTACTATTCGCCGACTATTACAATGTTAAATTAAGGAGAAGCCTGCGTGTGGCGGGGAATTGAGCGCACATGTAAAAGTTTTAGCTAACTAAGCACTTAGTCATGAAGGCGAATGGGCGAGTGGATATATAGACCCACGTTTTCTTGACCTCGGCACTAGTTGGAGGTGAGTGGTCAGCTTCACGCCCCGACTGCTTTACCTTCAGGAAAAGAGCCCCCGGTACCCATTGGATGGGATGTTGGGTGGACCCCCAGAGCCGATCTGGACTACGAGGAGAAGTGAAAATTCTTGTCCCCCACCGGGACTCGAACTCCGATCCCTTGGTCGTCCAGCCCGTGGCCGGTCGCTATACGGACTGCGCTCTACCGGCAAAATATATACGCAGTTCTGGTCCGGAAATCTGAGAGGAGGAAACCACTTTGAAGGTGTGCATGGGAGATTGAAACAGACTGGATTGAACTGGCTCAGCATTAGGACCGGTAGCGGGATTTTATGAATACAGCAACGAGCCTTCATAAATCTGTCGGCTAGCTGTCACTGCTAGTTCTTTGTCTTGTTTACTCTTCAACTTGAAGTTTGGGCTGTTTATTCCTCTGAAAAGAAATCTGGATCTCTCCGAACTGGTTTTCTTTTGGGAATTTCTCGACGAGCTGAGCCACTATAAGCATTCCGTTCCACGTAGTCATTTAATTAATTAGTTTGTTAAACCCAATGATTTTTCGGTCAGTTTGTGTAGCATAAAACTTGCCAAAATCTCACATTTGCCGGTGCATCGATATATCGACGTTGATGCCAAAACCGAACGCGACAATACCACAAACGCGTGCTTAGAAAAGAAAGAGGAAAAGAAAAGAAAGAGGAAAAAATAAAGTGCGGGTCGTTACACCCGCGATCTGAACCAGCTAATATTCCTAGAGTTGTGGGGTGTAAGTCAGGAAACCCCACATGTCTGGCTCACCTACGTTATTATGATTACGATATATCGGAAGGTACGAGTGACTTCATGCTTATTGCAATGTTTTGAAACCCCTTCAAATATGACTTGTAATACGTTTGTGATTGCGGTAAGGCATTTCCCACCTACCATTTGATTCAGTTATTTCAAAATCAGGATTGACAAGAAATTCTTGGAAGAACTAGTCACCTACTTTCCTTTGCTACGACACGGACCGCACAGGGAACAAAACAATTAAGGGGGTAACACAAAGGGCAATAACAGGGGACACACACAGAGACACGGACAACAAGGTGATCTTATAAGCCTCCTTTTATTTCATTTTTTGAAAATAAGGAAAGTAGACTAAAAAGAAATGTACCAAATATTATGACTATATATATTTTTTTAAATGTGTTCTTCTATCCTGAATATTGTAGGACGTTCCGTAAAGAAAAAATAAACTGTTTAACCGTAAGTTTCAAGAAAATTCCTGACATCCTCACTCCATCTTTGAACAAAATCCTGATTACATCCATCTTCGTATTTTCTATTTGCTTTAAACTTGACGCAAGTGGGGGTTTCTGCGCGAATCGTTACGTCCTGTGTGAGTCCCCAACGCCACTGACATTGTTAAGTTCAATGACGTAATTGTGTGATGTTTACAGATGCTACACGCAGGTGTGTGGATGGTGTTCGCTGTGAACTTGAGATGTGTTCACACCTTACGTACCATCCGGCAAGATAAGAGTGGCCCATGTGACGTGACTTCAATACAGGTTCCTTGCCGACAACCTGAAAGCAGTGTTAATGTGGAAGAGTTGTACTGGCAAGCTATGAACATCTCACAGTGCATGAACACTCGAGCTCACACACAGATGAATCAAAATGAAGTGGACATACTTGAATCTCTTCAATGCCTGATCAGTGACATGCAGAAAAACATTAGGCGCCGTAACTTTACAGATGCAGGTCGAAGTAGAATGTTCCTGAATACAGTGTTGGGGACATTATCTGGTAATAGCCAGAAGGGTGTTCAAGACTATCAGTGTTTCTATTGCGTTATCTATGAATTAAATTATGTCTTAAATTCAACAATCTACTTCAATGTAAGTGGCAAAGAATCTCTCTCTTTCAATACTTCACAACTTCAAAATTTTGAAATTATTCAAAGGATTTTTACAGTAGTTCTGTACATACAATTATCCCAAAATGGTTCAAGTGTTATGAACAGTATTTTCTTTGACGCAGAAACACTGGAGGACCTTTTCATTACTTTGACAAATAACACGTTAAACACAAGAGAGATAAAAAGAGAAGTTGAGAGAGTTATGAAGGAGAACTCCAAAGAAAAAAGCAACAAATTTAGTGAAGTAAAGAACTGTGGATTTCAGAGTGAATGCAGACTGAGGCCAATATTATGGATCCTGTACACAATTGCTGTCGCCGAAAACGGTCTTCTGATATTTATTTTCATGCGCCATAGCGAGATAAGATCAGACAGAAATATTATAATACTGAACTTGGCTGTCGCCGATGTTTTGGCAGTTCTCTGTAACGCTTCCCTCCAGATAATCTTCATATATGGTGGGACATTTGAAAGTGTAAAAATATATTATCGGATCTTGGATTTATCCCTCGAAGTCTCAACCGGTGTGTGTATATATTCAATTGTAATACTGAGCATTCAGAGATATTTTGCTGTCATTCCGACTTACAAACCCAGAGAATGTGGACTTTCAAGGCGTTTCGACTCAGCACTGTTCGTCTTTGTTCTGTGGAGCGCGGCCTGTGTGCCTCAAATCATAAGCGTAACAACTGACATGAGTGTCCAAGCTTGGGCAATGCGCAATCTAATATTGTACTGCGTGGTGCCAATCGTTGCTATAGCAACGTTTTATTTGATGACTTCCTGGCGGTTGAGGCAAAGTGTCCGAAAGATGCCGGGTGAGGCAGTGAGGCAGGAAACAGCTCGACACGCCCGCGTTAGGAGCTCCAATGTTCTAATTGCACTGATAGCAGTTTTTGTCATCAGTTACACCCCAATACAGTTGTTCAGATTTATAGAACTGTGGTTTTATGGTGGGGGCTACCTCTTCGATTATGTTGACCTCATAGCTTACTCATTGCTATCCCTTAACTCGTGCTTCAATCCGATCGCTCTGTACGTCGCAAGTGGAACTTTCAGACGATATTATAACAAATACATCTGCGTGTGTTGGAAGGACACTGACTTGACCACGTCCAGTTCTAATACAAACATCCAGACTACTGTCAAGACATGCGCACTGCACATTTAAAACTTCTCAACGTCGGCAAGATATGTTGACATGTACAACAATTTAAAGAAATTTAAGGAATGTGGTTGTAAATAAACAGATTTTCATACTATCCTTATTGAATATTCATGTCTGAGTGAAATATCTGTCCCCTTAGGGGCCAAGAGATTTTCTCTTCTCCAGGGCGTCGAGACCGGGACCGGAGCCCACCCAGCCTCCTATCCAATGGGCACCGTGGGTTTTTTCCGCGTGAGAAAAGCGGCTGGGGCGTGAAGCTGACAACCCACCGTCAACGAGTACTGGGGTCAATAATGCGTGGAGATATACATCTATTCTCCCTTACGTTACGTCTTCGTGGCATGGTGTTTAATTAATAAAGCTCACGGGCAACTTTATCTTCTTAAAGGCTCTCTATATTGACTTACAGTTAAAATAATCGAGTGCGGTGAGTCCAGTTGTAACACCAAATTAAATCTCCTCACTTACTCTTCATGCCGCGCCATAGCTCAAGCGGTTAGTCGCTGGCTTCCCATCGCGGCGGCCCGGGTTCGATCCCGCGTCTGGTCAAGTGGGATTTGTGGTGGACAAAGTGGCGCTGGGGCAGGTTTTCTCCGAGTACTTCGGTTTCCACTGCCAATCTTCGTTCCACCAACTGCTCCACAATCACCCTCACCTATCATCTGGGGCTGGGACAATAGGCCAGAAGTGGCCGCAGTACAAGGGACTTAGTCCCACTCTACCAGCAATAAAAAGATACTCTTCATGTCACTACTTGCAGCCAAGTAGTGACCCATTCATCACATTTATTCATACGAGAGAGCCGGGATAGCTCAGTCGGTAAAGCGAGTGGCTACGGGCTGCACTGCAGAGAGATCGGCGTTCGATTGTCGGTAGCAGCACTAAAAGTTTCCCTACGTCGTCCACATCGATTCTGGGGCTCATCCAGGTTGCGGGGGCTCTTTCTATGGAGGTAAAGCGGCCATGGCGTGAAGCTGACCACTTACTTCCAAGTAGTGACGAGCTCAAGATACACATGTCAATATCTCCACTTCCCCCTACGTTTTCGTGGCGTAGTGCCTAACTAGTTCAGCACGCGGGAAAATTTACGTTTACCACTCTACGTCTTGAAGATGCGTGCAATATGACATCTGTTGTGCCTTGTTGCGGTATCATTTTGAGCGGGACGGGTGCCTTAGTGGCTGAATGTAACGGAAACCGATTTTGTTTCAGAACGGCAGGTATGCGTCAATGGAAGCCGTTTGCAAAGTCAGCAAACTGTCTTAATTTTGCGCTATATCGGAAGTCTCTTGTTTGCAAAACCGGAAACGGAAATCCGCGACAAAGACTTGCATTATAAAGTGTAATTTGTGTGTAAATAGTTCCGTGTTATATGTGAGTCCTGGAGAATTATGAAGATTAATTTATTTTCAGTATAGCCTGAAAGAATGCAGTAAGCTTACGATTCATAAAGCAGATTACTAAAACTGGTTTAGAAGTTCCTTTTTGTTACAGATTTTCTGAAAAGCGTAACTGAATGTAGAGGAAAATTATCCATAATTGTTCGTTGTACTATTACCCCTCCTATGTAAACCTGTTTTCTCAAAGCTAAAGTTAATTTTGGTAACATTATACACCTTTTATTTCATAATGTATTGTGACATGTAGACACGTTGCTAGGCAACGACCGCGAAAGAAGCAGCTATACAACAGCCGTTGGTAAGTAACGGCTCCACAAACGAGCACGTTCCCACGGCAATAATGAAACGGTGTTCTCTGTGTGTTTCGTACCTGGATGTTATAAGCAGGACAATTAGTGAGAGTGTCAGTCAGTCAGTCAGTCAGTCAGCCAGTGAGTTAGTTGGTTGCTTGGTGAGTCAATTAGTCAGAGGATACCAGGGGCTCAGCTGTTGTGAAGCTGGTAGCTGAGGCTGGAGACCGCCGTTGGAAGCCGTTACCAAGCAACGGCTAGGGAAGACAGACGACTCTACGTGTGCTGTAGTTACAGTAACCTTTGGAGTGTGTTACTTATTGAGACTGTCGTAGTTATGTGTAGTTACGTATTATAAGTGTTCAAGAAGGGGCACGCGGTAGCGTAGTTGGTTGAGGCACTGCTACAAGCCAGAAGGTCGCGGGTTTGAGTCCCGATGATAAAGTGATGGAATTTTTCAGTTGACCTAATCCTTCCAGCCGCATTATGACCCTGGTGTCGACTCAGTCTCTAACAGAATTGAGTACCACGAATCTACCTATGGGTAGGTGGCAGGCGTGTAAGGCTGACAACCTCACCGCCATCTGTGAGCCGACTATCTAGAAAATGTTGGAGCCTCGACGTCTCACAACCCTATGGACCTCCACGGCCTGTTACATGGATAGCTTTACCTGTTAGCTTTAAGTGTTCAATAATCCTGAGTACCAATCAAAACCTCGTCCATAGTCACTGTATCACATGACAATATTTTATTTTCTATTCCTGAATATCAACATTAAAGTTAGGTGAAGTTGTCCTTGTGCTTACTACAGCACCATGCTATGAAGACATATGGGGGAGTAGAGGTATATCTCCACGCATTCTTAACCTGGGCACTAGATGAAGGTGAGCGTTTAAGTTCACGCATCGGCCGTCTTACCACATTCCCATTGGGTGGGTGGCTGGGCCCTTGGGCTAGTCTGGACGCTGTGCAGAAGAGAAGAATATCTGTTTCTGCCGAGAATCGAACACCAGTTCCTCTGTGAGACAACCCGCAGCCTAGGCTGGTACTGTAGAATAGGACAATGTTCGGTACCTCAGAGACGAGTCTCCCTGTTGCGTGTATCAAGTGCTGGCTGGTGCATGTTAGCAGGTAGGCTTGTAGCTGTACAATGAAACGAATGGCTGACCATCCTCTCCACTACAAGGATGAGAATGGACACCCCTGTGCCAGTTAACAGAAGAACCAAGAGGGGCGACACTGTATTGTGACTGACGCTCTGGAACGCCGTTCCCTCTTCCTGTGGCAGGTTGGTCAGGGTCACACTACAAATTTGACGAAAGATTCCAGACTCTCTGATGGAACGAAATCTTAAAAAAAAAAGAGGAATAAATATTGTGTGTTATTTTGCATTAACATATTTACTGTTGTATTTCGTAATTATCTGATTGATTAAATTGCTGGCTCATTGACTGAACTGTTGATTGGTTGACTGACTTGAAAGTTCCTATCTCCAGCTCCAATTCCCACATGTATCCCTTCCCTTCATCTAGTCTTACAAGTTATGACCCTTGAGGGACACTCTACATAACGATTTCATTGTATTTGGATGGTCAGAGATCAAAAAGTTGTGGAAAACTGCTTGAGAGAGAAATCACGTCCAAGGGTACATTTTCCCGCAATACGGACTGACGACATTGTAACTGACCAAACAAGTTGATGGAGAGGTAAACACTCTAGACTTACAAGTATATTCTGGAAGTCCTCGTTTAGAATCTCGACTGAGCCAGTTCTTCGTGGTTTTCTTCAAACACCACAGGTGAATGTAGGCATGGTAACTAGAATATTCACCAATCGTCTCCTTCCAATTCCTTTCTAATCCATCATGAATATATCATCCTGAGATCCGAGGCTATGTAGTCTCCGCACTGACAACGTGATTATATCACCTACCACAGTGTACTACCGACTGAAGTACTGCCTTTATCCCTACTGTCTTTGGTCGTATCGAAATTCGGATTATCTTTTCACTTTCCATGGAACAGACATTACGACAAGCAATTCCTCGCTTCAGCTATTTACACAGATGATGAAAATAATAGCTGATTGGTAAATTCTGTCCTTCGGACTTTAGAGAACTGGATATGGAAAAGTGTAATCTTGCGATTAAAGAAATTAAGAAAACAGGAACATCAGGAGTTGGCTGTTAACCTTGGGTGGATAAGATATACACCAGAAATGTATCTTAAACATGTTTCGTCTGTCCTGACATTCGTTTAAAATATAATTAATTTTTTTGTCTACTGCGCAGTGGTCAATCAAAGTTGTTGTGACTGTACTTACTTTTGCTTTAATATCAGTCGATATGGGCTGTTCTTGACTGTCGCCATGCCCTTCGTTGAAGAAATGTAAGCATATGGAACAGTCTGTAGTGTACAGATGGGAGCATTAGTCAGGAGGATGTACAGTGGCGACATGTACGCATAGTGTTCATCTTCGCAAGCACGACGCAGACCGTCACTGTTTCTTCTCGGGAGACTACTCATGTCAGGAAATATGGATTCATATAACTTTCGTAAAGGAATTTCAGTTGATTCCTGCACAAAAAAGGAACTGATAGGTTGGTTATTGTACATGGTCATATCAACTGCATAAAACCTGTTATCGGATAGCAGATATCGCGGGCATTTAGTGCTAGTGGCTCGGAGGGGCTTGCACGAACCAATTTTTAATGTCTTAGTTATTATGCTAGCCCCTTGTTCTCGGCACAGAAGATATCGGATGATGCAAGTGACAAAACAACGTCAAACGATAGTCTACTGTTCTATTTTACTTCAAATTATTGTGGAACAAAGTAAAGAATATTGCTTGATGTTGTGGGCCCGTTGTGAACAAATTCACAACACCCCTGAGACATGTAACTAGGTAAAAATTGCTTTCAACTAATTTCATTTAAGGACCAAAAACTGCCAATCATTCGATATATCGTACCTTCATGTTGCTGATTATTGAAGAGTTGGCAAGAACACCAAGCCTGTAGTAACCATTGTTTAGGAACTCTTCGAAGGTTCTGAAGGGCAAAGTGGCATGGCGAGAGGCAATTGACGAAACCAGAGCCCCCGAGAAACTAGCGAACAAAACCACTGACGTCGCATAGGCTGTGAGATGAAGCATGCGGCCCGAGACACTGCGGGATGCTACGTTGGAGCCTGCAGGAAAGGTAGTATGCATGATATGACGTCACCGTAAGCGGTATGGAACTAACAAAACTAACGCCAGAGCTGAACCCTTTCTGAGAAGCCGCCAGTTGTACAGGTACTCAGGACTTTCCCAACATTCTATGTGACCCGGAGGTTCATTACCGTGTTCACAAGAGCCCTCCACTAGTCCCTTTCCTGAGCCAGATCAAGAAGTGGATATGAATTCTGATCCTGAGGGCAGGAATCCTGAGCAAGGCTTCTCAGTAACGTCCCCTTTACGCCGCGAAGGCAAGTGCGAAAGTCGCAGTGCCTTCTGTGCACCAATTGGATTGGGCTGGGCAACCTCTGGGACGCAGCGATTTGCAGAAGAGAGAGATAGAAACCGTAACATACACGTATATCAAGATGTATAAGTTCCCAAAATATATATAAAAAAAAATATAGTTTACTTTAAAATTTTATTTTTATTACTTCAAAATTGACTATATATTGGACAGATAAAAGTGCGCGGAAAAGGAATCATGCACGGGAGTGCGACAACCGCTGCGCGGCCGCGCAGTTGCAAGGGAACATTCCTTTTCATGCGTTCACTGAACCCCACTGGGAAAATTCCAGGATAGTACATCAAACTAAGCTACTACCAATTCCTTCCACGTCATTTCCAGTTCCTTGTTCACTAATGACCCTAACAATCGACATTAGATTGCCCGAGTTGCTGATAATATCGCTAAATATGATAGGACAGAGAAACAGAGCGGTGAACCATTTTCCCTCCGCGCAGGATTCAAACCAGATGGTCTTGAGGTGAGCCCCCCCCCCCCATAGAAACAAAACAAACAACAAACTCCGTGGCCTGTAGTCTGAAAGCAAACTATACCTACCGACCGATCGACCGACCAACCGCCGCTTGTCCGGGAAGTTAGTGCCAACTTTTGCGGATAGTGTGTCACGTGGTCAGTGCAACGGATCCCCACGGCCGTTAATCTCGGTTTTCTAGACCGGAGCCGCTATTTCCTTGAAATAGCTCCTCAGTTATTCTTATGAGGGTGAGTGGACCCCGTTCCAGACCCACTACTTCTCAGAAAATCTGGTATCGCCAGGAATCGAACCCGGGAACTCTGTCCACTAGACCATAGAGGCGGTGTATTGGTCTGATAAGGAAAACTAAATGCATTCTGTAGTCGTAACGCGGCTCTGGGGAAGTAGTGAGCAGAAAAGGAGAGGATGAACATACCGAACATACGTTGCAGGATCGCTAACATCGTCAGAGCGACCGTATTAGAACAACTGTTACCTTGACAACAGAAACACGCAGTGACGTAGAATACTGCATGGGAGAGCCCAGGGTGTGGCAATTCCTCCACAGTCTGACCAACGTGACGGCGCCTGACCCAGTGCAGTGCTGCCACAGAGAAAACTAGGAGCGCTACTGTGACTGTGACAGCCACCCACAGTTGCCAACTGTACGGAATGAGGAATGTCGTCCAACCAACGGCAACGGTGTCGCGCTTCTTTATGAAAATGTAAGTTCTGAAACACAATATTTACCAATATGGATTCCAGCGCTGAATCTAAGAACTTTCCAAAGTATTTTTAAACAATGGCGATGGACAGGGCTTAGGGTACATTTGGGTGTAATGAGAAATACACAAAAAATTTTGTTTGAGAAACCTAAATGAAACTAGGAATACTAAGGAGTAGAAGGAATGCTCTTGCAGAATGTGGACTGAATCTGGCTTTAGAAAAACGGCAGGATTTTGTGAATACGGCGATGAATTCTCGGGTTTCACGAAGGCACGGACTTTTATAAGCAGATGAATAGAATACTAACTGAACCGAGGGTGGCTTACATATGTACCGTCCATGTCTTTAGATCTGGCCGTCCGTGCAGTCGAGTCCACTAGATCACGTTCTACCGAGATTCGTGTTGGACGAAGTGGCAATGGAGCAGCTTTCATCCCCAGTTTCCACGATTTTCCCCTGCTAATCATAACTCCACTATAGCTCCATACACCGTCTATTACCGTCCCTGAGGTGTACGATACATCTGGCCAGGCAGCTCATTATCACATCCTCGGTCTTTAAGTTGCGGGCTTCATGTCTGACCCACCACTCGATTTATCATGGAATGAAGGAGTTTATTTTGCTAAAATTAAAGACAATTATGAAGTGTCCCTGTGCTTGATTAATTAAACACTATACGATGAAGCGTATGGGGGGAGCAGAGGAATAGATTTTCTTAGCCTCGGCACCAGATGGAAGATGTTTAATTTCGTTAATCAACGGCGCTGCCAGTATTGAGATTACATAGCGTTGATGATAGAATTACTGATGAATGTGGAGCAGTTGGAATGAGAATTGGCAGGGGAACCGAGTGCACGGTGAAAATCTATTCACTTGTCAATTTATCTATCATAAATCCCACATGACCTGACCTGGGATCGAATCCCGAGCCGCTGCGGTTGTTAGCCGGCGTCTAATGGCCTGAGCTACGGTACGGCCAGCTTCACGCCCCGGCCTCATTACACCCGCTGAAAATTTGAAGGGAAGTTAAGCGGGCCCCACACGAAGTCTGGACGCTATTAATATGAAAACTATCTATTAATCCCTACCAGGAACTGAATCCCTTAGCACAGTCACTGTACTGACTGACTATGAATCTATATTTCGGTCCAATAATAGTGTCGTATCTGTACCTGGAGGTCCACACTGGTTCTATGAAGTCCACCACGTCGACACGTGACGTTGTCATAGTGAGGTCAGAACAGGAAATGTTCACTTGTCGGTCCGCCAACATTCCTATTATTCCGTTCCATTTCCCGTCTTCCAGAATTTCCCCGTGCATATTCAGACTGGACATGCTGTAGCGCGACCTGGTGCGGGGAAATATATGTACAAAGTGTTCCAAAATATTTAATTCCTTACTTTTCTTGTGTAGTGTGTTACTCCGAAACATTGGTGAACTTTTGTCGCGCAACACGGGTTGACATCGTAAATACAGTAGGCTGCTCATAATTCTTTGTATCTTGCGGACATTTCAGTTCTGAATATCCCCTTCTGGCTTAATTTCTAACGTTTTCTTACACATCCTACTTTGATCTCTTCCTATGACATAACCTAACCCAGTGTTTATTAACTTGTGGTTCGTGGCGGCCCGCCAGATGACCCATAGTGTTATGTGGAATGTAATAAACACAATAATTTAAATTAAAAACATTTGTGATTAATCAGGATTAAAAGTGCTTTTAATTAATGGCTAAAAAGCGATTTAAGGCCAATTTAACTTTTAATTCTTCATCTGTTCGTAGAAGAAGCGAAATCGCGTGTATTGTACAGCCAAGGGGAATGTTGCGATACCTGAGTGGACCGCGCCTGCGCCGGAAGTTTGAGGAACACTATCCACACCACTTGAATTGTCCCCATTCATATCCGCTCTCTGATTACGGGTTTCCTATAGTTCCCTCAGTTCACCCCTGAAGTCGTTGTTTACTTTCTGAAATTGGAGGGACTCACGTGAAATTTGTGTACCGCTCAGCTACCCGCCACAATTCTCCAAATAACCCTCTAACCTCCAGCTCACCATTTCTGGCTGCAGCCTTGACAACAGTGAGAGAGTCCTGCAAGAGAGAGGAAAGCGACAACAGTGAGAGAGTCCTGCAAGAGAGAGGAAAGCGACAACAGTGAGAGAGTCCTGCAAGAGAGAGCAAAGTGACAACAGTGAGAGAGTCCTGCAAGAGAGAGCAAAGTGACAACAGTGAGAGATTCCTGCAAGAGAGAGGAAAGTGACAACAGTGAGAGATTCCTACATCCAGCTGGGAACAAAAGCCAACTGTAAGTTAATCATGAGGTAATTACATTGTTCACCGCCACATGGAGACTGATTCCGTGTAGATGGTTCCTCCTCCGGTAGAAGCTCTGTGAGGGCCAAGTGAGGCCGCCACCAGGAGACCAGTTACCGAAGCGGTATGACTGCAGGGGTTGCGAGGAGCTAACTCTGTACACTTCTGTCAGGGCGATGACGTCGCCATTTTCTGGCTGAGCCACCAGGAACTGGCAGTCGAAAGGAATGTTAATGTCTGTGAAGAACTCCTCCAGGGACGCTTTGGTGTCAAGGAACAGCAACCAGACGGCGTGCGATAACATTATCTTTGTCGACATCTGAAGAAACAAACATACGAATTACCCCACACATTTCACAGATACAGCGATGGCAAAATTTGCTGAACATCGAACTCACGTATGATAATTTTCGGAAGTCTGCGAGCACCAAGGAGACGTGAATTGGGTGGTGCAGACGTTTAGGTACAGGCTTCCTGGGCAGCCCATTTTTATATCATAAAAAGGGACTGACAAATACATTTTCCTCGAAACCTGCATTAGCGGCTGTAAGGAGTCTGATTTTGTACTCTAATAAAGAAGTGCAATTTTTATTGTATCATACTGTACACTAAAGAAATTAAATGCGTTGTCGTGTGGCTTGAATTGCTTGAGCTGTGACAGTGAATATTACTGTATTATGGAATGTGACTACGTGTAGTTGGGTGCGTAAGTACCAAGTTTTGGATGAACCTGCTGCAGCCATTTGCAAGAGAGAAGATGCAAATTGCATATTTATTACGAAGACTAATAAGATTACGGGAATGCATATAGGATATTGGTGGGAAGGCCAGAAGGAAGGAGACCCCTGCGAAGACGAAAGCATAGGTGGGTGGACAATATTAAAATGGATCTTGGAGAGATAGGATGGGATTGTATTGATTGGATTGATTTGGCTCAGGATAGGGACCAGTGGAGGGCTCTTGTGAACATGGTAATTAACCTTCGGGTTCTATAAAATGCTGGGAAATTCTTGAGTAGCTGTAGGATTGGCCGCTCCTCCAGAAGGGCCCAGCTCCATGAGTAAGTACGTAAGTAAGTAAGTAAGTTCTCGTATAGGGCGGTGTGTATTTTGATAGATCCTTCTTGCAATTTTCTTTGAAAATTTATACGTACCAAACTACTAAGTTGTTACATTTCAGGAGAGAGTAATCTTTATATTCACGGCCGTGAGAAGCTACCTTCTGTCGTATGCAAGTAAGTTCCAGCAGATCGACAGGGCACCGAGCGGTGAGAAGTTAATGAATTAAACGGTTGCCGGGGAAACCGTGTACTGTCGTCCAGAAATTAGACGAGAGTTGGGGGGGGGGAAGGGAAAGAGCATGAATATGGGAAAGTCTTGTATTTATGTAGGCCTGTAGAAAGGAAAACGTATTTGTTGGTTAATGCAGTATTTTATACGAAGTAGATTTTTGTGACTAATCCGGCTTAACCAGTTTGAATTGGGAAGAAATTTCGGAAAGTGTAGGCTAAAAATTGAAGTGGAAATATATGAATTTTCTCCGATGTCTGCATTTTGTTTTAGTCGTGTTGAACTTTCTTACCCTTTGTCCGAGATTATATTACATATATATTACAATTACAATTTACCACCTTAAAACCCCTAAATATTACATAGCACCAGAGAGTCAGTCAGCCAGTCATTCTATCAATCAGCAGTTAGTCAGTTATTCTGTCAGTTAGTTAGCCAACCATTCTGCCAATCAGCTGTCAATCTGTCAGTCTTTAATTCACCAGCCAGTGCAGGACAACTATAGTATTGTTGAGTATGCTTGTTTCCGGGGAAATGTCCCTCATTTTCGGTCGCACCTGTTTGATCCCTTGTGGCAATGACGGATCGCTGAACGGTAAGACCCGTAGGGACATACTACAACTTGACCGAGTCCCTTCTTCCAAATCGTTGAGACCCAGAAGAGACGTCGTAGCGAGCGAAACTTCTCTGCCGTTCAGAAGCTTCTGCAGTCTCACCCCTGTCAAATGACGATTTAAATCGGAAAGACACAGATTTCACTCTGACTCCTGAGAAGACAGCACATTACTTCGCATATGACCTTGAAACAACAGCAGGTATAGATCATTTAAAGCCTAGTCCTTTCTCTAAGCATCGGTATGTAGCATTTGATGCCATCCATTAACATGAACGATAAGGCCGCACCATACCTCAAGCGTTTAGTCGCTGGCTTCCCACCATGGCGTCCCGGGTTCGATCCCGGGGTCTGGTCAAGTGGGATTTGTGGTGGACAAAGTGGCGCTGGGGTAGGTTTTCTCCGAGTACTTCGGTTTCCCTTGCCAATCTTCTTTCCACCAATTGCTCCACAATCACCCTCACTTATCATTTGGGGCTGGTACAATAGGCCAGAAGTGGCCGCAGTACAAGGGACTCAGTCCCACCTCACTATCAATAAAAAAAACTTAAACGGTGTACTAATTGATGAACAACGAGACCATCTCTTATGGTTGTGGAAACAGCCCATCCAACCGACACGCGGGTTAGGTTGGGGGCTTAATATCTGATCCGGAGATTGGCTCATTACAAAATAAAGAACTGAATTAAAGTAAAATACTTCTGTGCTGTGTCCACTCTCGATGTGAAGCTGTCTGGACTTCTTCACGGATAAGGAAGATGCAGTTTGTACTGAAATGTCCG